CTTTATAGCTGCATAGGATTAGAAACATCATTAAATCAGATCTACCTCCTGCCAATTGTGAGCCCTGCTGCAATTTGTTTAACTACCCACCAGCAAGAGAATTGTGAAAGCTGGATTTCATGCCTGCTGACTGCTATTTACTGCATTTATCCTTAAACTGTGCTTAAAGGAGCGTGTAGCTAATTAAAAGGCAAGAGTCACCACACCTTTAAAACTGCATTTTCTTTCAAGAGACATCTCTCAATGCATCAATATACTTTTCATTTTAAAGCCAAACACTGTAATTCTCACTAACTTGTTTTGAAGCACAGCCTTGCTCATAGCCACATTAAGGAGTTAAAGAACCAGTACATGCAAGAGGTATTGGTATGCCAGGTGGCCTGGTGACCTTGCTACTGGCCATGTTGTTCTATTTCTGGTTTTCATGAGGCTTTGTAGTGGTTTTGGAGATTCTATTCATGAGAGGGAACCTTTCCATACCTCCGTGTTCTGTAGGGTGGGAGGGGTGTCTGGGCCATGGTTCCCTCCTGCTCCTTAGGGCACTGCATGGGAGCCCATTGGGGAGTCTGAACTCTCATATGGGAGGCCAGGAAAGAAACTGTGCAACTAGATCCACATCTGCTGTGCTTCTGGGGCACTGCATGGGAGCCCACTGGAGAGTCTCTGAACTCTCATATGGGAGGCCAGGAAAGAAACTGTGCAACTAGATCCACATCTGCTGTGCTTCTGATTAAAGTATTGAGTCTCGAGAATCAGTATTTCCCCCTCCCATTGCTTGGTGAGTAGGAAACCCAGCAGGTTTCAGTTCCCAAAACCTTCACCCAGCAGCAGTCCCCATCCCGGTCTCGTTTCTGCTGTTTTGTTCATGAGAAAGGAAGCAGCAGGCTGCCACACTGGGGCCCTGCTCACCACCAGGGACAGCCTCTTACTTCCCTCCTCCTGCACATAGCCTGATAGCTTAGGTGCTTAGGCAGGTGTGTAATTTCTCCTTCCTGTGACCCCTCAGCAGAGTCCTTCTGGAGAACGAGTCGTCCAGGCTCCATCTGAAGGCTTCAATAGTCACTTGTTCTGCTGTGCTTTTGTAAGGATGCCACCATTACCAGGCCTGGGGAGCTCAACTAGGTCTCTTTAGCCCCAGGTGTGTCTCAGATGCAGGACCTCATCCTGTAGAGTCTGCCCTTCTCTTGGTGATGCTTCCTGAAGCACCAAAGTTCAGCAAATTTTACAGTTTATATAGCCCGTGAAACCCTGGGGAAAAAGACATGTAAAATGTCTGAAACAGTTCATTGCTTAATTATCAAGCTTTGATTTCAAGATAGCTTTCAATATGAAACAAACACACATTCTGCACTTGTGACCAATCACAAACACCAGCCAGGGGCTCAGCTCGTGGCAGAGCTGCACTCTGTTCTGCAGTACTCCCTTCTGGCTCCTGCCTGCTGCCATCCCCCCAAAGCGAGGAAAATGGAAAAGCTTGTCTGTAGAAAAGACCACAAATAGCTTGTAAACAAAAGGAAAGGTTTATTTTGCTTAGAGCTCAGAAATAGCATACAATCCTAATGTTACAAAGTACATATTGTAAAGCTCTGTTCCTAGGGAAAATGGGTTCCAAAGAAACCAAACATGGCATCACTGTATTTGTTTGTTATAGAGCAGTGCCAGGAGCTTACGTAGAAAACTATGTAGGGTATAGACCACAGTAAACAGGAATTCTGTTCACCCTGTGCTGTTTAGTATCAGGAAGCATTATGAAAGCTTGATGTTGAGCTGTAATAATCTCATTTCAAATACCACTGTGCTGTTAATATGGCGTGTTTTATACAATGTTTTTTCTGCTTCCTCCCTCTAGTTGCCATTTTGCCCCTAGTGGGTTGAGGGTGAGGGGAGAAGAAATTTTTAAGGATTTGTTTATTTAAAAGCTTATTCGTTTACAAGAGGAAGTTTTTCATATTCAGGCCAGCTACATTACCATTATGTTTGCTTTATTTATGTGAAATACATAAGCATAGATGATGGATATTTTTGAAGCATCAAAAGCAGTGCTTGCTTCAGCACTCAGGTTTGGAAATATGACTTTATGAGATAAAGTTAGCAAAGTTCTTCTGGAACATAAGTTCGCAACTGCCAGCTAACCTTAGACTCTGAAGTAATGGCATTGATTTATGATTTGAGCAATAATTCTTGTAGTGGAATGAAGTCACTAGCATAGCAGTTAGGAAACTGCTTTTACATTTCTTTACACCGGTCCTATAATTTCCTGGTACTGCAAGAAGCAATGGCTGGAGTGCTGATGGTCTCAGTCAGGTATGGACCACGCTGCCGAGGCTCCTTGGCAGGTCAGCAGGTGTTACTGTGCCAGGAAAAGTGCCACGTAAGGTAACTTTCTCCATTTTGTAAATGCTGAGAGGTCTTGTCTTCCCTGTGTGTGTAAGACCACATGTTTAGCAAGCTATAGGCAGAGGTGGCTTGTTAAATCCCAAATTTCCCCCATGTTAGACCATGTTTGTGTGCGTGCTGAGCACTGAGAAGTTGTGAACAGCGTTTCTGCGTGTGCTGAGCACTGAGAAGTTGTGAACAGCTAATGGATGTCTGATTAGAGATTATGTTGTCATGAATTTATGCCTCCATCTCATAGGACGCAGACTGACCGCAAGATTTTGTTGCCCAGAGAGCTTCACATCATGAATTAGTTAATAAGGGCAATGTGCTAGAAGCTCACTACACACATTCTGTAGAATAAATGTGCAGGTATTGGCATGCTAAATGAACAAGGCTTTCATACAATTTGTGTGGCATAAGGCAAACTGTTACATAAAGTTGAAGCTAGCATGTGCTTGTTGCTTGGATTGGTGTGGAAATATGTGTGGGTTTGACAGAATATAGGCTTTATTGCTAATCTTATAACACATTCTTTAGGGTGAGGAAGCAAAAAACATTCCTGGTGAATCTGTAACAGAGGAACAGTTTACCGACGAAGAAGGCAACGTCATCACGAGAAAAGTAATCATGAATTACATCACTGCTCTGAGTCTTTGAATTCAAGTAACTTCTTTTAACATACTTTCTCCCTCTAGAATCTAGGAAAAAAAAAATCGATACTTGTCATGTATTGCTTCCCACAGATCACCCGGAAGGTAGTAAGACGCGTTGTTATCCCCCATGAGAGGAAAGTTGGTGAAATGGTAATGGAACGGGAGCTACCAGGAAATAACAGTAGAAGCAGAGGGTTGTGTTGACTGCTAGAAAGTGCTGCTAAAGGGCTGGAGGTTTGCATTTAACAAGAAGCCTTGGCAAAGTGCGGTGCTTGCGGTTATTGGCAAGTTGTGCGTTTGGGTAACAGGGCAGGGGTGTCTCTCTGTGATGTATGTGGGCAGGGGCAGTGTCAAAGGGGCCTGGCTGAATTCTGTCAGCACAGAGCATTAAGGTCTGTTTCTGCAAACAGGCAGCAGGCTTAAACCATAGGTTTGGGGCCTGTTTTGTGCCATCAGGAGGAGCTGTGTCTGCGTGTTTTGTTAAGCCCTTGCAGAATTTGTGCCTTACACCTGTAGGTGTATTGTGTTGCTTTTCCACCAGCCCAAAGGAATGAGCTGCAGTCTGATCTCTACTGGCCTCTCACTCACCTGTGAAATACCCCTGTGCTGGTGACTGAGGGTTTGCAGGATTCATGGGAATGTGAACATACTCAAGCAATGGTCTCCTTTACCAAGAGAGGATTTTGTCCCTGGCGATTAAAATTGGAAGCCCTTCTGCAGGGCTGGAGTATGTCCAGCTTAATCACACTGAAAACGAAAAGGAAGGGCAGGGCTGTTGTGCCCCAGCACACCCTGCTCAGCCCCTCCTGCAGAGGACTCCAAAGGGCACAGGCAGGAGTGGGCAGGCTGTGCCTCAGCTGGTCTCTGTCCCAAGGAGGCCTCGGGGGTATGGACATCACCTCTGGAAATAAATTATTTCAGAGGAGCTCATGCCTTCTTCTTCAGCACATGGCCCTGGGAGGTCTTTGCTCCAGTAAAACTGTCATTGGGGTTAATGAAATTCTTGTCTGAGTGAAAACAGATTAAGAAAGGAAGATAACAAATACTCTTTATCTACTGGTAATAATATTTTTTTTAAAAAAAGGCAGAGGGGACACACATGCCACAGTAATAACAGAATCAGAAAAAACATATTTTCATTCCCTCTTTCATAGGCATTTATCAGGAGAAAAAAATTCCTACCCAGCAAAGGGGAAACATTTTCAATTTGCTGGACCAGATTAGATTAGTCTGAAACTACAAATAGTTACAAATACATCAATGCAGATCACCTGAGGGGTAAATTCTGCCGACAGCCACACATAAACAGATGCCTTTCTCCGATGTGAGTGAGGCTTGTGATTACTGGAGTATTTATTTTTAGATGGTTATTGAGCTACTTTTAATGAGCGAAAATGAACTTTATTTTGGGGTTTGCTGTTACAAAGACACTGAAACCTGCACCGCTTGTCACTGTCATTGGTTTTACTTCTGCACTGCTTCAGTGGTGGTTTTTGCTTGCTTTCTTCCTCCTTCCTTTATTCCGTTACTAACCTGCTCACTTTAAAGCACAGACGTTGTGAAACATCATAAGAGCAGCCACAGCCTACGCTGTTGGAAATGTCTGCCAGTCCAGCTGACCCTGGAGGCCGGTTGGGAAAGGTGATTTTCCTTGACAGTGGCACTGGATCCCACTGCAGTTGATGGCAGGGGCTCTGCTGAGGACTGTCAGCTGGGCACTCCAGCCCAGGGATCGTGCCGAAACTGTAGACCTGTGTTTTCTACTTGAAGATGATATTTCAGACCTGTGCTTTTGCAGCTCAGCAGAGTGGATAAACAGAATGCGTGTGTCTTTGAAATGAAGCGTTAATGTGATTTACCTGCTTTTTACTTATCCTGTTATAGCACAATGTGGAGCCTGTTTCAGAAGCAGGTTGATAATTACGAGTACTCTCTGCAGACTATGTTAATGTTTATACTTTTCTTTTAAAGCAGGGAGAAGCTTATAAGGTTAAGACAAAGAAAGAAGTCAGACACGTGGAGAAGAAGAGTTACTCATGAAAGCTGAAAGCCAACCACTGAACGGTCAGTGTGATCAATTTGCTTCCACCGCTGAAGGCTTTTGCCAGCACAGCGCTGTGCAGCACAGGGAGTAGCACCTGGGCTGCACAATGGCTTGCTTGCCTCTGCTACCCTGACATTGCTTTCCAGCTGCAAAGCTGAATAGCTGGCCCTTGATCTTGTCAGCAGAAAATGACCCTGTGTTCATGTATAGAAATTAAGCTCTATTTCTTGGAACATAAAGCAAAGCAATACTGATGCATGTGTACGATTCTGGGGACTTTTACAAAGTCTAGTGTTTGTAGTCCACAGCACTTTCTACCCTTGAAAATTAACTTAAACACAAATAGAAAAGGAGCTTCACACAAGTAAATCTGCTGGGAGTGAAAGGCTTCTTCCACAGTCGGGCATGTGATCTGAGGGCAGTTATGCAAGTCAAAGTCCTTGTAGAGCCCGTGAAGTGTCTCAATATTTGCCAACAAATAATCCCTACCAACTGTTTCTTGTGAATTTTATTGATCCAGCCTTAACGATTGTAGCAAACCAGCAGCTGGTGGTATAAGGACTTCTCAAACTAAAACCAAATGCACAGACTAAGTCACCCTTGCATGGACTCTATAACAGCATATTGGATCACCATGAAGCCAGGAGCTGCTTTGTCTCCATCACATAGCTACAGTCACACAGAAATGTGCCTGTAAATACAGGAGGAGTCCATCTGTGTCTATCAATGCTGGCCAGTCAGACATGGCTCTGAGTGCTTAGGTTTACCATGTTCATGTCTCTGTTTTACTCAGAACTTTGGTGGGTTTCAGGACATGGGCAGAGGAAGAGCTTAGGAAGTGCAAGTCTATGTGTTATCCTTTTCCTGTACATCTGGTATAGGACTGACTGATTTAAGAACAGGATAAAGAGGACCTGGAAAATATACCAGGACAGTGATGTGGAGTAAAAGGACAGAAGCAGAACTTCTTCTGAGTCACTAGTCCCTTCTGACTGCTGCAGTGTAAGGTAGCCCCAAAAACCACCTGGCCATGGGCTTTCTGTGTGTATTAGTAGTGCCATTTGAGAACACCAGCACTCAGTGCTGAGGGATTAACGGGATCAAACCCGAAGTAGCAAGCTCTGTGAGGCAACTGGCATGATTTCAGCATCTGGTAAGCACCTACTGTGTCCACCTAGCACACCTGCTGAATTC